GGGAGGGGGGGAAGAGGGGGGAGAGGGGGTAGAGGGAAGGTAGAAGGGGAGGGGGTGAAGGGGGTAGAAGAGGGTGGGGGGGGGGGAGGACGTACCTTGCTCGTCGAACTGGGCATTGCGCCGCTTGGCGTCGGACAGCAGCAGGCCAAAGTCCGGCTCGGTGGGGAAGCCCTTGTCAATGTCCAAGAGGCCACCCGTGAGGGTACCACCAAGTTCGTTGGCAGAGCTTGCTTCTGGCCCGGGGAGAAGCGAGGTCAACGCAGGTGCTCGCGCTGTGGACGACGACGAGAACATCCGGGCGGAGGAAATGAGGTGGAGCCAAGTGGTGGCAAGGTGGAGGCGGAGGCGGTGGGAAGTGGGGCGGTCAGCGGTGCGACTCGTGAAGGCTTCGGGGAGGCTGCTCACGAGGTTTGTCACTTTGCTGATTGAGATTCTGCTGATGGGGGGGAGGTACGGATGGGGCAGTGCGACGGTAGTGGAGGAGCCAGAGGTGGGCAAGGAGGCCGTCGTCGATGGTGAGTGGGGCCGATGGGCGCGGCCGTGCGCGGGTCCAGCGCGGGCGGGCAATGTGGAGCTCGGTGGCGAGTGGGAGAAGTCCGACATGGCGGTGTGGTGAGCTTGGCAAGGCCGCGGCGGTGCGGGCGACCGGGTGGATAGGCTTGGCGGGCGGCAGCACTGGCCGGGTGGGGAGCATGAGAAGAGAGGCGGGGAGTGACGGCACAGGCATGGCCTGCGGAGGCTGCTGCGATCGCAGCAGCCACGGCGACGGCGACGAAGAGTGCGGCGAACGGGAGGCAACCGGGCGTGACGGGGGCGTGAACGGGGCCGGCGAGTGTGGGTCGGACCCACCGAAACCGGTTGCTGGCGAGAACGATCGCAGCTCGTTCTCCACCTTGCGCAAGGTACGAGCCGTGGTGGCCTCCTGGGCACGGAGAAGCTCGCTGTAGACGCCCGAGTGGAGGCCGGCGAGGAAGGCACGCTTGAGACGGACAAACATCGGAAGAGGTTTGGTCGCCTTGCGTGAGCGCCGGCGCTTGGTGGCTCGGCCGGCCGAGGCCGCGGTCGGTGGGCCGGCGGCCAGGACGTCGTCAAGCGTCCGCTTGCGGCTCGGCTTGGCCTCGGCAACCGGCGACGAGCCAGTAGCCGCGGCATCAGCGCCACGGGCCACGGCCGCCACGTACTCGGCCTGGATGCTCCTGGCCAAATCGGCGTATGAGAGGGTGGCGCGGCCGGCATCGAGCTCGCCGCCCCAGACCGAGGCCAGCGCCGCCGACACCGCCCGGCCGGCCGCAGTGGTGTGGCTCCGCGCATAGTTGGCGTACGCAGTCGCCAGTGGCGTCCTACTCTCAGCATGCGCAGCAGAAGCAAACGCGGGATCAGCAGCCTTCAGAGGCATGTCGGATGGCGGCTGACTGTGAGGCGTAGCAGACGATGAGTGGTGCGGCGGAGCGAGGCCGGCCGACTCGAGAGCACGCGAGGCAGCCTTGTGCGAGAGAGCGCGAAGGGATTCTGGAGGGTGGGCGAGCGAGCATGTGTAGCAGACAACCGCAGATGCCGAAGTGATGCGCCACGAGTAGGAGTGGGTGGCGTGGCAGGAGGAGCAGAGCATGGCCGGGGTGGCGGGTGGCCGGGGGAGGGGTGGGGGAGAGGTGGGCAAGCGTGCGCAACGGGGAAAGAGGGAAGAGGGAGGGGAGACGGGGAGGCAAGGAAATGGTGGGCAAGGGGTTGAGGGTGGGGAAGGCTTTACTGAGAATGGGCAGAAATCAGGGGATGGACGAGTACGAGTCCTTGCGGGTGATCTTAGCGTAGGTGAAGAGGACACCGTCCTTGACGAGGCCAGGGAACGACTTCCAGAAGCCAAGGTTGGGGAACATCTCGACGCCACGGAGGCCCTTCATCTGGAAGTTGTAGGCCATACCGGCGCCGATGTAGACGATGGTGAGGCAGAGCATGATAATGAGGATGATGGAGCCGAGCGAAAGGCCGCCCTTCTTCTTGGCCGGCGAGGAGCCGCCCGAGGAGCCGCCCGTCGACGCGCCACAGGCAGCCTTGGCTTTGGCGGTAAACTTGTACACGCAGTTGTCGGACGACACAAAGGTGAGCTTAACGTCGGCGTCGGCGACCGACTCGTCGCAGGCGATGACGAGCTGCGCCTGGTTGTCGGCGTTGCAAGTGTTCGAGTGGGCGCCATCGCCGAGTGTGATGGTCACGGTGGAGCCCGAGGTTACCACAGTCCGGGCAGACGAGAGGCCGAGCGTCTTCATCCCGGAGCTCCACTCCTGGCAGACAGCCACGCCCGAGTCGGTGCACTTGGTCGACGAGAGCGAGCCGCACGGCGAGACCTTGTACGTAAACGTACCGTCCACAACCGAAAAGTCACCGCTGTACCCTCATCCAAAGCCGTCGCGCCAGCACGCGCACACATGACACACACGACACGCACGCGTGCACCACCCCCCCCCCCCCCCCATCGCAGTCGTCAGTACCATTCGTCCACAGTGTGAGTTGTCGCCGACGACACACCGTCACATGCTAGTGCTGTCCGTCGCACCGCCGGCACCATGCAAGTCGGAGCAAGCGCATGGACACATGGAGAGATAACAGAGATGGCACACATCGTAGTCTATCCCTTGCAGAACATCACTGGCAGTGGTATGGCTGGAGAAGGGGGGGAGGGGAGGGGGGGGAGGGGGAGAGGGGGGGACGCAACAGGCGGCGGCTGGCGGAGGATTCATGAAAATTGCATACGCCAGCCGGAGACACGCCCTGCCGCGGACAGGCAAGGAGGAGCGATAGCGCCCCCCCTATCAGGATAAAGAGCAAGTAGGGATGATGTAGGATGTGTGTGCATGCTCCGCCGTCAAACTATGTCTTCAAACACATTGTCTGCCCCCTGACAAGAGCAAGTGGAACGGGCAGGGTGCGGTGGAGGAATTTTTCGCATGCGCAAGCGACTGGCCGACGGGGGGTACAGGCAAAGGAAAGGCAAGGGGGGAAGGGGAGGGAGAGAGCGGGGACGTACTTGTTGCCAAGGTTGGAGAAGCCCGAGGGGCAGTTGTCAGCAAAGGCAGTTGCCACCAGGACAGCCACTACAAGTGCCACACCGATGAACTTCATGGCGAACGAGAGTCGAGTGGTGGAGGGGGGGGGGGGAGGGGAGGGGAGGAGGGGAGGTGGGGGGAGAGGGAGGGGGGGGGGGGCTGTCAGGGAGGGGCTCATGTCACGTGTCACGCTGAGCCCTTTATGGTACGGAATGGACAGTTTTGTCCATCGCGCCAGCCGCGCTCCGCGACGCTCCTCAGACGTCGCAACGTCCATCAATCGCGGTAAAAGGGTAGTATGATGTGTTAATGGCTGCCACAACAGAAAACAGCCGGCGATGCAGAGATGGGACGCCGCACGCGGCGCGGAAGGTCTGCGGCCGCGATCGTTTACCATGGAGCTTCGGGCAGGCGAGGCAGTCGCGTCGCAAAGCGGCTTGCTGGGGAGAGTGGTGATGACAAGCAGCCAGCCGCTGCAGAGGGACGCTTCCGCTTGCGCGACGGCGTGGAGCTGGCGGTGAGGGCGTCGATGATGTCGTAGAGAAAAGCCGCGCGAGTCATGGCGGGGTGTGGGCTCGCGTCAGCGTCGAGCGCGTACGCGTTGATGAGCGCGGCGTCCAGAATCCAGTTCAAGATGGTGTGCTACCACTTGCGCGGCGATGCCGACCGGCAAGCTCGTCCGTCGCAAGAAGAAGCTAGACACAGACACCTCACTTGGTACTCATCTCGCCGGTTGTGGCAAGTACGGCGAGAAGGATAGAGAGGACGGCAAAGAGCAGGGAATGGACAAGGCTGTGGGGGCAACGATTGTCTCTGACCACGACCCATCTGTCAAGAAGAAGCTTCTGGAGACCCTGGTAGCTCGGGCTGCTCGCGCCTTTGCCTCTCCTTCCACCGCCGGCGGCATTGTTCGTGCTATTGCTGCAGCTGTAGCGGACAGGCCATCGACACCATCACCAACACCATCGCCATCATCACCATCACCATCATCACCATCGTCATCATCAGCAGCAGCATCGACGACAACGCTCCCGCCACCTGGGGCGCTACGAGAGATGGTGGAGTGCGTGGTGACGGCTGCGTGTGCAAGTGATGACGGCACTGATGCGGTTGCGGTTGCCACGATGGACGTGTGGGAGAAGCTGGTGGCCGAGCCGATGGTACCGGAGAAGCTTGTTGTCCTGGCGGTGCTCCTTGACGCGCTCGGTAGCGAGAGGATCCCGCTGGCTGTGGGCGTCGGCTGCGGCGAGACGTTGCGGAAGGCGCTGGCCACCCGCGACGGCATCGCGGCAGTCGTCGCAGCGCCGGGTGTGCTCGATGGGCTAATTCCGCTACTGTGTGCGGTCCCTTCAGGCCTTCTTCCGCCGGCCCTCAAGGTCGACCAGCTGGCGGTCCGCCTCCTCGCCTGGCTCCCGCCCAGCCGCGGCGACCTCGCCGATGATCTCACCAGTCTGCTGGTCGGCGCTTGGGAGCCTCGCGCCATCGACCGCGGGCTCGTTGCTGTCGCTTCCGCCTTTGAGCTCGTCTCGGATCCAGCCATGCGTCCGCCGCCGTCGCTCTGGCTCGCGGCGGTCTTTAACGTTGCACCCACATGCCTCCTGCCCAAGTTGCTGCAGCGCGAGATGCGCGCTCGCGGCGGAGAGCTCCAGGGCCGGGCATCGGTGGCGGTAGGCAGGCTTCTCGCTGCGCCGGCCCAAACGCCAACTCGCTTAGCCTGGGTCCTCGGCATCCTCCACGCGTTGCAGTCAGTCGGCGGCGGTGGTGCGCTGATGACGGCCGCCGAGACCGGCGTCAAGCCACTGGTCGAGACGCTCGTGGCAGCATTTGCGCATGGCGCGCCCAGCGCGTCCGATGCACCACGCATCCTCTCTGCCGCTCTTCCTGTCCTCCGCATTCTCCTCTGCGGCTACCAGAGCTCGGCGTCGGTCTGGCTGGCGGCCGTCCCGGGCCTCCACGCGCTCCTCACAGATATGGCGGCATGCAAGAGTGGGTGCGATCCTGAGCTCGTTGAGAGCCTTGTCGAGCTAATCACCAGCCTAATGGCGTTCTTCCCGGGCTATCCAGTGCTTTACACCTCGCTCCGTAGTGCATGCGTGGAGGCTGCGGGCGCCGAGGCGGTGCGCGAGCCTGAGGCGACCAAGCTGGCGGCAACCATGAAGGCGCTGGCGTTTGAGGCGTCTGACAAGGAAGTGATGGCGGTGCGGGCGCGTCGGCAAGCTGCGCTCGAGTTGCAACTGGCGCAGGACACGGCCGGTGCGCCGGTGGCTTGCCCAATAGTCGGCCTGGCTAATCTCGGCAACACGTGCTACCTCAATGCGTTGGCGCAGGCGCTTGGAGCGCTCTCGGGCCTGTCCAACCTTTTGTGGCAGGTACGCCCGGCCGCACAGCGACCGCTGCAAGCGCTCGCCGATCTCTACGCGTGGACAAAATACACCGATCGGCCGGCCGTCGCGCCCAAGAGTCTCCACGCCGCACTCCCGTCGCCTTTTAATGGGCATGGGCAACATGATGCGGCCGAGCTCGCTCGGTTTCTTCTTGCATACGTCGAAGCAGCAGCGCAGGCGACGTCGCCCGAGGTCGAGCACGCCTTTCGTGAGCTCTTGGTTGGCCAGCTAACGACTACGATTGTGTGCCGCGTCTGCGGCTCGACGTCGGAGCGGACCGAGGACGCGCCGCTTGTTCCGGTCCCGCTGCCCGATGCGAGATGCGGAGGTCCGCTCGAAGCTGCGCTGGACGCCTTGTTTGAGCCAGAAGAAATGGCCGGCGAGAACGCGTACGCGTGCCGCACCTGCGGTGGTCTCGTTGCCGCCACCCGGCAGATCACCGAGTACAGACCGCCTCAGCACATGATCTTTGCGCTCTCGCGGTTCTCGTACAACGCAAAGATGCGGACACGGACCAAGGTTCTGGCGCCGGTGTCTGTTCCGGAGGAGCTGGCGGGTGTGAGCAGTGACGAGAGCGCCGGATATCGGCTCTCTGCTGTTGTTGTGCACTCGGGCACCCGCATCGAGCACGGGCACTACTACGCGTTTGTGCGCGAGCCGGTGGGCGGGGGCTGGTACCTGGCCAACGACTCGTCGGTCACCGCCACCGACTACTACACGCTGGCGGCGCTGTCGTCCCGGTTCGCGTCGGACACGCCGTATCTGGTGGTGTACTCACGGGCGGGGGCCGATGGGGGAGGCGGCAGTGTGCCGGCGATGGAAGCGCTGCCGACGGCGCTTGCGCAAGCGATCTCGGCCGACAATGCAGCGTATGCGCGCGAGGTTAAGGCGGCGGCAGCAGCAGCAGCAGCGCACCGCAGCGGTGGGTGGGGCGACGGATGGGGTGGGAGTGACGGGTCCGGCGGGAATGACGAACCGTACCAGGGCGGCGGCTCTGGTGGCTCTGGATCCGGCTGGGGCTCACTCTCGCTCATCTCGTGAGTGAGGCTTTGGGGCAGGATGACTTTATGAAAGAGAGTACTTGGACGACGAGCGCTTGACAGTGTGTGAGGCGGCTTCGCGCGAAGCGGCAGCGCGGATGACGTCGAAAAAGTCTGCAATGTCCTGGACGTGGTTCTGGCGGAGGGCGACGCGCTCGGTGAGTGTGGCGACAAAGGCGTCGCGCGAGGCCGCGAGCGAACGCAGGGCAACCAGCTCCTCCCAGACCAGCTCGGCGGTGACAAGGCGGTTGATGACCGACGACGAGACGACAGGCTTCTTGGTCGAGGGCCAGACGAGGCGATCGCGGAGCTCGCGACGGTAGAGGCGGGTGACCAGGTCGCGGAGCTGCTGCAGCGGGTCGACAACAAACTCGGAGGTGAGAAGCTGCATGAGCGGGCGCGAGGTGAGCGCCGAGCCAAAGACAAGCCGGCCAAGGGCGCGGACGTCGGCAAGCGCGTCGTGCGCCTTGTAGCTCGAGCCGACAATGGCCGGATACAGCTTGGTGAGCGAGAGCGAGCGAACGGCACGGAGCGTGGCCGCCTCGACCTCAAAGCCGGATGGCCGCGCCTTGACGCTGCGGAAGAGTGCGAGCGAGTCGACAGTGTGGATGTCGAGGTACGAGAAGAGCTCGAGCGGGATAAAGGCGCGTCGCATCTCGTTGAGCAGGAGTGGAAAGTCAAAGGTGTTGCCGTTGTGTGCGACAAGGACAGGACGGACGGCGAGAGAGCGGGCGAGGTCGCTAGCGTCGTCGTCATCGCCGATGTGGGCAATGACGGCCGCGGCACGGGTGGCCATGGCGCCGGCAAGCCACCCGATGAAGGTGTGGAAGACAGTGGCAAACGGCGGCGCGTCGGCAAGAGTCGCCGCTGTGATGCCGGTCACCTCGGTGACCTTGCGCGGAATCGGGCGCGAGGTCTTGACGTACGACACAAACTCGGCGTCAAACGTCATGGCCAACCCCGGGCGCTCCGAGTCGGCACCGAGCACCACCGCTGCCATCTGGGTGATGTGGTCGTGGACAGTGTCGAGTCCTGTTGACTCGAGATCAAAGATGACGTACATGGGAACGACGCGGGTGGCGGCCGGGCGGACCTTTGCGCCTACGCCCGTCGCCACCAGCACCGAGGCTACGTCAAAGGCATCAAGCTCGCGCGGGCCATGGAAGCTCTCGCTCACGCTTGTCGACATCTGCAGTGGCTCCGTGGCGGTGTTTGGGTCAGAGTGGTCGAACTCGGGCGAGGTGGAGGCTGATGTTGAGGCCGAGGCCGGGGTCGAGGCCGAGGCCAGAGTGGAAGCTGAGGCCGAAGGCAAGAGTTCGGCGGGAATACTAGGTGTCCTCGATGCCGATGTCGATGCTGGTGGAGGCAAGGATGGAAACGAGCTGCGAGTCGGTGATGGAGGTGGCGGCTGGCGAGCAGAAAGGTGAGCGGCGCGGCGACGAGCTCGGGCACGACGATTGGCCCATAGTGAGAGGGCGACACCTGCCGACCACCCAGTGATGATGCATGTGGTAGAGAGGGCGACATAGCCCCACCAGCGAAGTCGGCTGCTGGACGAGGACGACATAGGGAGGGGTGTGGTGTGGTGGCGGACATGTGGCAGGTCGGCGAGTGACAGACACGGCGGGCGGGTCGAAACGAGACTCGTGATGGGATGGGGACACACCTTTCACGCACGCAAGGCAGTGAGTGTCGACCATCCAGGCCGCCGTGGTATTGGTGGACAAGCTCTTCCAGATTGCAGATTGCGCTCAAGAAAGCGACTGGTCTGATGGATGAGACAAGGTGTTTGGAGGGGGGGGGGGGTCTCTTCATGGCGACGCACGTCTGGACAACAGGAGGTACGGCCACGGCCGCGTTCTGGTTACAGCATCGGCAGCTCGGCGTCGGCTTCTGATCCGGACTCAAGATGCCCCAGCTCGTCGATATCGGGCGAGTAGATTGACTTGGCAGGACCTTTTGCAGCCGAAACAGGCGAGGGAGAGGCCATGGTCGAGCCGCGCTCGCGGGTGAGCGAGTCGAGGACCGACCACTCGGGCGAGGCGGTGAGGCGGCACTTGAGGGCAAGCTTGCCACCCTCGACCATCATGGCGCGGACAAGCTCGGGGGCGAGGACGTGGTCAGTGTCCGAGCCATCGATGAGGCGAGTGATATTGTCGATGGCAGCAGCGATGCCTGTCGGGGGCGGCGGCGGGGTGAAGGAGGCGGCGTTGGCGAGGTCGACGACGACAAGCGCCAGGACGTAGTGGCCCTGGTGTGGGGCATCGATGGTGAGCTGGTGGACGGTGCCCTTGCCAGATATGTCGACGACCTGGCGGTGGGTCGGCGCGACGGCGGCTGATGACGGCGAGCAGCAAAAGTCAAAGTAAGAGAGCGCCGAGCGCGAAAGGTCGCGCTTGGAGACAAAGGCCTTGGCGAGGTGCAGCTGGGCCTCGAGGCGGACAGGCACGTCCGAGGTAAAGGTCATGAGGATGTTCGACGAGGTGGGCGGGAAGGAAAAGTCGCCGGTGGCGGCGGCGGCGGCGGCCACGTCCTCGTTGAAGACTTGGATCTGGGTATGGTCCGAGACCCGGATGCCCTTGTCGAAGAAGACTGGCCAGACGTCGAGCGAGTCGAGGGCGTAGCGGCCGACAACGCCGTGGGCGCGGAGGCGGCGGATCTTGCGGATCTCCAGACCGATGGCAATGAAGATGACAATGATCGAAACGACGACGACGATGATGAGAAAGACGCCAAAGAAGGCCGAGGCTCCCGAGGCGAGGCTGCCGCCCGACGCGGCAAAGATAAAGGCGCCAAAGAGGACGAGGCTGGCACAGAAGAGCATGACCGACTCGAGGCGATTAATGCGCATCGACGAGTACGGGTGCCAGCGGAGCTGGGCAATCAAAGCAGCGATGACGACAAGGACGGCCCAGACAACCTGGCCGACGACGGTGCGGGCAAAAAGACCTTGCCGACGACGACGCCAAACTTGCGGAGGAGCACGCCGAGTTCCATCAAGTAAAAAGTGGGCTTGTAGCGGAGGTACATGAGGCCAAAGCGGGCGAGGTTTTTGCGCTTCCACAGCGACTCGCGTCGGCGGAAGAGGAGCCATCCGAGGGTGGCTGGGACGGCAATGGAGAAGAAGAAGAGGGTGAAGAGCGAGCCGCCGAGGAGGCGGCGCCACTGCGACGAGTAGCAAATGATCTGCGGCTCGCGGTTCATGGTGTACTTGCCGTCCGACTGCTTGGTGCAGGGGAAGATCTCGAGAGCGGTATTGGTGACGAGAAGGTAGAGGACAAAGCCAACCATGACCGCTGCGTTGATGCAAGCCTTGCGCATGTGCCCGAGGTTGTGCGCACGGAGCGAGGGGAGCCATGAAGCCCAGGTCCGTGCGGCGACCGAGGCCTGGAACGCGTGTGACTCGACGATGACGAGTGAGTAGCCGATCATGGCGAGGTAGCCGACGGCGAGCATGAACCACAACATCCACGCCGAGGCGAGCTTGACGCCCCAGATGGTGCGGTAGGCAGTGGAAGAGTTCGAGGCGAGACACTCGGGCTTGAAGACTTGCAGGTCGACGTTGACGGCCGAGACAAGCTCAAAAAACCGCTGAACCCATGCCGGCCACTTGAGGTCGAACGAGGCGAGGACGCCGATGAGCTGTAGGTAGTTGAAGCCGACCGAGGTGGCGGAGAGCATCGAGGCGTTGCGGCGGGCAAGTCGGACGAGAAAGACGAGGACGCAGGCACCGATGATGGAGAGCGCCACAAAGACGTACGGGATGTATGACGGGCACTTCTCGCAGAGGCCCGACGACGGCGACTTGATCCAGCCCGGAATGCAAAACGCGCACCGCCGCCCGGCGTGACCAAGCCGGCAACGCCCGCCAAGGAGGCAGACTTCGGGCGGAGTGCAGGTCTCGAACGCGCCGGCGACGCCGGGAATGGGGTGAAAGCCGCCGTTGGCAACTGGCCCCGCGGTGCCGCCGGCGCAATACCCACCAAACGGGCAGGAGAGACAGGCAGTGCGGGCGCCGACCCAGACCCGGCCCTCGCCGCAGTACTCACACGGAGCGTAGGCGACAACCGGCGAGGTGAAGCCCGGTGCGCAAGGTGCGCAGTAACCCGAATCAAACTGGCTCGCGGTGGCGTTGACCACGCCCTCTCCGATGGGGCAGGAGCAGTCGAAGCGGTCGGTCGATGCGGTGACGAGTGTGGTGAGGTTACCCGGGCAGGTGAGGCAGAGCCCCTCGCCGGGGTGCTCCTTGTACTCACCGAGGACGCAGCCAAGGCACTGGATTGCGTTGGCGGTGTTGGGGCCAGGCGTAGAGGTACCGGCGGGGCAGTCAAAGCACGCCGTCATGCCGCCTGTCGGCTGGAATGTACCGCGGGCGCAGGCGAGGCACGACGTTGCGCCGGTTGCCGGCTGGACAGAGCCGGCCCCGCATGCCCGGCACGGCAAGTACGGCCCGATGGTGTCTTTGAAGTGGCCGACGGGGCAGGGAAAGCATCGACCGCCATCGCCATTGCCCCAGCCGGCGGCGCAGGTCGAGCAGTCGGCGACGAGCGAGTTGGGTTCTGCACACGTGTTGCAAGTCGGATCGAGGTCAAAGTCCCAGCGGGACGAGTGGCAGCGGATGCAGTTGCCGGTTCCGGTAAAGCCGTGCGAGGGTAGACCATTGACGCAGTTGACGGGCTGGTCGCAGGATGGGCCCCAGAACCCGGTGTGCTTACACTCGGTGCATGCCGCGGGCTCGAGCCCATTTGCACCGCACGTGCAGCTGCCCGAGCCGTCAATGCCGTCGATGCACGTCGATGGGGAGATGCAAGCTGGACACGGTGAGCACGATGGGCCAAAGAAGCCATCGGCGCAGTCAGTACAGTTGTCCGGTGATGATGCGCCGTCGAGAAGCGTGACTCGCCCGGAAGGCAGGCGGAGCAGCTCGTTGCGTCCTCGACAAGCGAGTAGGTGGAGACGGGACAGACGGCGCAGGTCGAGCCGTCGACGCGGGTGCCTGGCTTGCACATGCAGGCCGAACTAGCGTTTGCGCCGGGAGCCAGGGTCACATGCTTGCCGACGTCGGTGCACGAGGTGCAGGCGGTGGCGTCCGAGACCGAGGCCTTGAAGGTGTTGCGCGGGCAGTCGAGACAGACCGGGGAGACTGCGGCGTTGAAGAACTTACCCGCGGGACAGAGGCAGGCACTGCCACTGCTCGAGCGGGTGTTGGTGGTGATCTTGGAGGCCGGGCATGGGAGACAAGCGTTGTCGTTGATGCCAGCTTTGTAGTAGTTGAGCGGGCAGTCGGAGCAAGCAGTGGTGCCAGTCTTTGGCTCGCGGCCCGGGCGGCAGCGGCAGACTTCGATGCTGCCGGCGTCGAAGATGGAGTCAGTAGATCGCGTCGAGTGGCAGGGAGTACAGGAAGTGCCGTAGGTGGAGCCGTCGATGGGGCCACGGAAGGCGTCCGGGCCGCAGTGGATGCAGCCCGAGCCTGACCAGTACTTGCCAGCACTACACTGAGTGCGGAACTGGCGAGTCGTGACAGACCGGTAGTTCTCGTACACGCCATCGTCATATTCGTCGTACGAGAAGATCTTCATGGTATAGAGAGTTCCCTCGCTGAGCCCGGTGATGGTAGCCCCCTTCGACTTGTAGTTGAGGCTCGGCACGTTGTGGGAGCCATCACCACCAAAGACGGTGATGCGTATGTCGGCATCGTCGCAGTCATCAGCATCACTCGAGTACGTGGTGACCCAGGAGAGTGCCACCTGGTTTGCCAGAATGTGCGCGTCGGGAGGCGACGCGGACGGCATGGAGTGGCTGTAGAAGCAGGGCTCGTCAGCGACGACCGAGGAGAGCGTGCCCATAACGAGTGCCGCTGTGAGGACAACGACAGTGAGTCGAGGCATGTTGAAGATAAGAATGGCGGCGCGGATGGAGGGTGCAGAACAGGAGCGCCGGTGGAGCACGACGGAGAGCGGGTTGCAAGCAGTTGCAAGTGTTCAGGTGAATGGCGAGGTGTTGAGAGCGAAAAAAGGATCCCTTGAACGAGGTGTGTGCCGGACATATGCCGGGGTTTGGGTTGTTCAATGAGGGTGCTCGGGCAAGCGGGAGGTGCACGCGCCGCAAACTGCCCGCCGCCTTCCTCACCATCCCCCGTGGCCATGCCCATTGTGACCAACGTGGTCCGCTCGCAGTAAGCGGGGAGCACGTTGGTAGTTGCTAAAATCGGTGGAGCCAATCAGTTCTCGCCCTCCTGCCCGCGAGTCGGCGCCCGACCGCGGCTTGTTCGCCTCGGCTCAGGTGGACACGTCACCGGAGAGGGTGGCGCCAGAAGAGAGAACGGCCTGGAAGATGGTTTGGGTGAGAAGAATGCATGTACCAGGCATGTGCCGGGGTTTGGGTCGTTCAATGAAGGTGCTCGGGCGAGCGGGAGGTGAGAGGCTCAGATGGACTCGTCATCGGAGAGGGTGGCGCCGGAGGAGAGGACGGCCTGGAAGATGGTCTGGGTGAGGAGGTCGCGGAGGTTGGCGTACTTCTCGTCGTAGTCATGGACCGAGGCGAGAATAACCTTGTGGGCCTCCTCGCGGCCGTAGACCTCTGCGATGGTGACCTTTGTCTCGGAGACGCCCGGAGCCTGCTTGTAGGTGGAGAGGAAGTGGACGATGGCATCTGTGACGGACGAGGGCATCTCCTCGACGTCGGTCCAGTGGCCGTAGACGGCGTCGCCCTTGAGGACAGCGATGATCTTGTCGTCAGCCTCGCCATCGTCGATCATGCGGATGCCGCCGATGGGGACGGCGTCGACGATGATGTTGCCGTGGCCGATGGACTTTTCCGAGATGACAAAGATGTCAAGCGGGTCATGGTCGCCGTCGACGTCGAGGCCGGTCGCCTCCTTGCAGAGAGCGGCGACGCGCTTGCCAGCATACGACTGCGGGAGGAAGCCGTAGTTGGCTGGGTAGACCGATGAGAACTTGTTCGGCCGGTCGACCTTGAGGTAGCCAGTCCGCTTGTCGACCTCGTACTTGACAGTGTCGGTCGGCACGATCTCGATGTAGGCAGTGACGGTCTCGGGCGCGTGCTTGCCGATCGAGACACCATGCCACGGATGCGGCTAGAGAATGCGACGGAGGTAAAAGGCGTGGGTGAGTTGGGGAAGGGGGGGGGGAGGCGGGGGGGGAGGGCACAAACGTGTGTGTTGGTGGTGGCGGGGCAAACGAACAAAATTGCGACTGGCCCGCACAAGAGGTGCCGACGGCGACAGAGGTGCCGAGGATGACAGTGGAGAAGGAGGAGGGGAGGGAAAGGGGGGTTACCTTGTAGAGCAGGCCCATGAGCGACCACATGCGGTCGACAATCTTCATGGGGTCATCGTCCTTGTCTGGGCGCAGGAGGGTAGAGTCCGAGCGCTGGTCGGCGAGGTGAGCGAGACGTGCGGGGATGGTGTTCGGTGTGTCGGCCATGGTACGGCAGGAATGGAGCCAAGTGTGCTTGTGCTGGTGCAAAACCGGACCAGAGGCGGAGAGCAACCGCAAGGCTGGGATGTGGGGAGGCGGTGCGGTTGCGAACGGGGCGATGTGTGGGATTTTACGGAGAGCGGGATGCAGCAGCGGAGATGCATCTGTTGGGGGGTGGGGGGGGGGGGGGGAGGGAGGGAATGACGTCGGATGGTGTGAAGAGCGGGGCGGGGCAGGGCAGGCGGGAGTTGGGGTGGGGATGGTGCCCGCGTGGTCGTCTCAGGTCAGGTCGTCCTCCTCGGCCTGGATGGCCTGCTTGACGCGGAGGAGGATGGTGGTGCGCCAGTTTGAGAGCTTTGTGATGCGGTCAAAGTCGACGATGGCGGCGGTAAAGGCGTCGACGTCGGCGTCCTCGACGGCGGTGACAAGCGAGTTGGCAAACTCGGCCTCTCTTGAGCCGACAAACTTGGCGTCAAGGTCTTGGTAGCGGTCGAGGGCGGCGCGGGCGGTGTGGGCCTCGCCAGTGGCCAGATGGCAGAGGACGGCGTGGAGGAAGTACTCCTTGCACTTGAACTGGGTGAGGTTGTTGTCGATGCCGCCGATGCCGGCCTGCTCAAAGATCTCGATGGCGCGATCGTACTTTTCGAGCTGGGCAAGGAAGGTGGCGGCCTTGAGCAGGCACTTTGTGGCCATGGCCGTCGAGTTCTCGCCCTCGTAGAACTGGGCCGCCGACTCGTAGAAGTTGATAGCCGACTCCAGCTCCTGATCCTCCTCGTACATCTCGGCAATGTCCTTGGTGTGCTTGGCGGCAACGGTGAAGCGGCCCATGTTGGTGAAGAGATCCACCGCACGCTGCAGGCATGTCACCGCCTTGCCCGTCTGCGTCTTGCGGTAGCAGCCTGCGGCGGCCACAAAGTCGGACGCCTCGTCGTGCGGCTCGCCGAGCTTGGCCGACATGGCCGCGGCCTTCTCAAACGCGTCCCCGGCCTCGTCCCCTATGCCCCCAACAACAGCAGCACACGCCGTAGATGGTAAGTCTCAATGTGCGTGCCGTGGAACATGACGTGTTCCCGTCGTGGCGGGTGGTGGCGGCCAACGAAGAGAATTTTGGACCAAGGCTTCGGCTCGCGAGTCATGCGGTGGGGGCGGAGCGGGCAGGTGGGGAGGGAAGGAGGGAGGGAGAAGGCCCACGTACACTTGCGGGCGACCTTGAGCATGTTAGCACCCCGAGTAAACATGTCGTGTGCGTCTTCGTACTTGGCAGAGCCAGGCCAGAACGACTTGGACTTTTTCTCGGCCTTGGCAATGAGCTCGAGAGCCTTGCCTTCGTTGACGGCAGCCATGTGAGGTTGGTCGACGAGGGAGAAGTGTGGCTTGATTATCGCCGTTCTCCCGTGGTCTCGGCGTCAAGTGTACATCCGATCGCATCGGAAGTCGAGGGTATGATGATGATGGGATCGGTATGGCAATGGATGGGGGGAGAGGGGGGAAGGGGGGAAGGGGGGGAAGGGGGAGGGGACGGCTGAGAACAGAAGATCAAAGAGCGAGACACTTTTTCGGTTGTCATGATGCGGCAGGTCACGGCGTGGTTACTAGGGCACAGCAGCAAGGATGCATACCATGACTACCATGGGCTGAACTGAAGCCGTGGTCCCTGATGCTGTGTGTGGGTATTTGATTAGAGAGGCAAATAGCCCACTTGTCCCTGCTTCAAGAAATACCACCAACGTCGGCCTCATCGGTGGCTTGCCGATGAGAGCAGAGTGGTGGTTATGACTACGAGAGGGAGACCAACGAGTCCGCGCTGACAGTGCGATAGACAATAAAGCCACCGCTCGCTTTGCGCTGGGATGATAGGCGGGTTGTGACGCGGGAGTAGTCCGAGATGGGGCGGGAGTCTTCCGAGTCATCGCCGCTTCCAGTGCTGGACGACGTGTGGTTTGCGGATGACTTGAGAAGAAAATCGATGCTGGACTTGTTGTCCGAGAAGTCCAGGCTTGAGCCCGGGGCGTTGAGGGTGCGCGTATAGGCGAGGTTTGTGCGACGGACATACTCGAGATCGATGACATCGCCGGGTTGTAGGTCAGAGTGGGCGGCGTGCGAGAACTCGGTCTCAGTACCATTGACGCGCAGACGCCAGGCGTGCGTAACCGAGGCACGGATGCCGGTCACCGACGAGATGACGACGACCGAGTACGAATTGCCGTCCTGAACCACCCATTCGGTGTCTTCGGTGATGGCTAGATCGTCGAACTTGATCTGCATGGCCGAGACGAGACCGTTGACCGAGATGACCGGTGTGTCGCACCGGGGCGAGATGCGACCGCGTGAAAAGATAAAGGCATAGGTGTCGATTGGTGTGTCGTCGCAAGTGGCCGACGACATCCCCGGCGAGAGCGAGCAGAGCGGTGACTTGGGGTCTGGGTGGATGGTGTATGTGTGCCGGTCATAGTTGTTGCTGAATCGGACTCGGAGGAAAAAAGACGATTGGAGGCCGCTAGGAGACGCCTCACGCACGGGGGATGGTGACGAGGGCGGGATTGCGGGAGGAAGAGACCGCGAAGATCCACAACCCATGCTTGTGAGTTGAGGATTGGAAACAAAACGGGCTCTGTGTGGTGATGGAGGAGTGAGAGGGTGAGAGAGGAGTGCGGGTGAGTGGCCAGATGCGGGACAACTGGTCGAACAGACGTGTCAAATCATGACTTCAAATTGGCACAGCATAGTGATTTTACCCGCACCTAATGATATCAAATTATTGGCAAATTAATTACCCGCATGCAGCACCTTGTTCACCGCCATCCAATTACCCAGCTGCTGCAAGTGTTGCCCACGAGACTCGACCCGTCTCGACCAGACACTATGACAGATAGTGTCTGTTCGTTTGGCCAGTAGTCCGACCAGTCGACAAGCACTGCCTACTTACTTGCACGTGAAGTAGCCGCAATATCATCGCGACTGTATCGCCGCCACTGGCGCAGATGACTGGCTGAGACGTAGTGGCGGCCTGGCGGGCGGCAGGTCAACTGCGATTCCATTGCAATGATGTCGCCGCTCAGCGGCTGGCGGTGGCAATGGCGATGGCGATGGTGATGGCCCGCGACGTCGACGTTGACCAACACTTGCCTCGCCGATTGTCGTCGACGCACGATGCCCAAGAAGAAGACCGGCCAGGCCAAGAAGCGGGCCAAGATGAAGAGCCGCCAGGCTGAGATCCGCTCAGGCGCACAACGTGACCTTGCACGGAGTATGTTGCACAGCGCGAGGGAGAGGGAGAGGGAGAGGGAGAGGGAGAGAGAGAGAGAGAGAGTGTGTGTGTGTTTGTGTTTGTGGCGGGTGACGTATGGCTTGGCGTGGTATAGTTGGTGTGTGCGTGTGTGGGGAAGGTGTGTGTGTGTGATGTGTCTGTGTCTCGTATGGCATACGTGTGGTGTGCGGTGTGTTTGTGGTGCGACGTCGCCCTCACCCCGTCCACCCCGTCCACCCCATCCACCCCCTCCACCCCCCGTCCACAGGCAACTGCAACACATCGTACGAATGCAAGCAGTGCGGGATGCGACAGCGGACACGGGCGTTCTGCTACTTTTGCCATGCGATGCAAAAGCCGGCGGCATGCGCGCAGTGCGGACGGACAAAGTGCTTGGGCGGCGACTGTGCTGTGCGGCATGGGGCCAAGCACGCGACGGGCATGGATCTTGTGGGCGCTGTGTGCGACCATTGCGCGGCATGGGTCTGCCACTCGCGCAAGTGCCTCACCACGCATGCGTGCGCCTGCCCGCTCGCCGACATGGTGTGCATCGTGTGCTGCCGTGGGCCCGAGGTGTGCGGCGGCCGGTTCTTCAACTGCTCGACATGCTCGGCGGCGCTTTGCGAGGAGGATCAGCTCCAGCACGAGGGCACTTGCACCACCATCGATGGCGACTCGTTCAAGTGCAAGAGCTGCAACCGGACTGGCGTTTACTCTTGTCTCTCGTGCAAGGTCTCGTTTTGTGACACCCACGTTGTCCGGCGTGGGGTCGTCCTCTCCGCAGGCGCCAACCCGCCGTGCCCAAAGTGCTCCGTCACCGTCGTCGAGACCAAGGCTGTCTCGGTCTCCACCCGCAAGTACGAGTACGGGCGCCACAACACGGCCGACCAAAGTAAGGCCGACATGTGGTTTGCGCCGTCGCGCGCCTCGGGCGCCGGGCCCTCGGGCTAACTGTTCGCATTGTTTGTTTGGCGACAATAGCTCGCTCAGACACGGCAGAACTCGTCCTCCGGCAGGGCGGCGATGAGGTCCTTGACCTCGGCCATTGTTGGTCGATCTGCGGCGAGCGGCGCCCACGCCCTGCCGAGCACCGCGCCGAGCCGCGGGCCGCACCCGCCGTACGGGACGTTCCCAGCCATGATCTTCTGCGCCACATCGAGCGGCGACTCCCCGGTAAACGCCCTCTGCCCAGTCACGACCTCGTACACCGTGGACGCGTACGAGAAGACATCGGTGGCCGACGTGTCTGCACTGCTCCCGGCGAGCACCTCAGGCGAAGAATATATGATGGATGACGTTGACGAGAGCACAGAGAGTGTTCCGCGGAGCGCAGAGAGCCCAGCGTCGGTGAGCGTCACCCGCGACCCGCCCGAGTCGTAGAGCATGACGTTGGACGGCTTGACCGAGCCATGGACGAAGTTGTCAGCGTGGAGCGAGGCCAGCGTCTCGGCGAGCGCCACCGCAACTCGCCGCGCAAACGCGCCACCGACCCGCCCAGCATCCACCGCCGCCGCCAGCGAGCCATGTTCCACCAACGGGTAGATGATGCCGAGGCACGGCTTGAATGGGCAGATGGCGAGCGGGTGGACCACAAGGTCCTTCTCCGACTGGTGAGACATTCGGAAGACAGAGGCCATCGCCGCTACAAGCTCCACCACGTCCTGCGGCCCGAGATCCTGCTCGGAGAGGAGCTTGACGAGCACAGCCTGCCCGTCGATGTCCGAGATGCAGATCCGCGCAAACGAGCCCATGCCGACCTCGGTGGCGTGGGCGAGAACGCGGATCATTTCCGGAAGCGCGATGAGAATGGGCGAGCCACACCCGAGCTCCGGCAGCGAGAGCGTTTGGTTGGCAAACATATGCTTGGTCGTCTCGGCTCGCGCACAGCCGCGACCGCGAGCCGAATCGATTTTTGCTTCCCTATCCTGCCGCTGGCCAGAGGCAATCCGTGGAGACGCCTCGCTCACTAACGAGACCACGCCCCAGTAGCCCAGAGCTTCGGCTCCTCCACCATTTGCCCTCGGCAGCTCTCCCGACACGCGAGAGACCCGCGGCGTTGCCACATCCAGCAGCTTTCGGAACTTGAGGTTTGAGACCGGGAGTTCCCTGTTGGCACGGGGCCGCCTCGACACACCCGACCCGCGTCGAGAAGCCGAGAGGGTGTACGAGCCCGAGCCGCGGGTCGAGCCCGTCCCACCATCGGTCCCCTCGCCCATCGAGTCGGACGAAAAGTTGGGAAACTGCTGCGCTGACGCGGTCAGCGCACACAGCGTGGCCTCAACAGCGTCGCCCAGCCCGGGAGCCACAAACACACCACTCGCCGCTGACGGTGCCGTCGTCGACACGAGCTCATCGACAACTGGACCTCGAAACGCGAGATATGTTCCGGAAAACGGTCTGCTTAGACTGCGGTTGAGGGTCTCGATCCGCCCGTCGGCGGCCACCACTCGGGCCTCGACTCGCGTTCCGGAGAGCGCCGCAAGAAACTTGGAGGTAAAGGCCACAAAGTGGCACGGCAACGGAAAGACAACCAGGACATGAGTAAGCGTCCAGTCAGCAACCCTGCCCTGTATCTCAGGAGCGTTCTGAAGCAGATGGCCAATGGTTCGGTGAAAAGTGGTCAGTGCCGCGTGAGTCTCCTCGAGCGCCGCGGTCACAGCCTGCGCGTTTTCGGTGACTGAGATAAGCGCGGCAACGACGTGGCCCTCAGGCCGGGCAATGGTTGTCGGGAGAACCACCGAGGAGCGCGAGTACAGCCCCCGCAACTGAGCCGCAAGCCGCGAGAAGCTTGGCCGTTCTTCAGGCTCATGCTCCCACGCTGCTGTCATCAGCGGCACGTACGCCTCACCCCACTCGGGCACAAGTCCGAGCAGCGGCCGGCGGACGGCGGCCGCAACGTCATTGGCTGCCACCACCGGGTGTGTCCCCTTGTATGGCTCGGTCCGCGTCAGCATCTCCCACATCGTAATGCCAAAAGCATAGACATCGGCCGCCGGCGAGAGTCCGGCCTCACCGTCGACCACCACCTCGGGTGCGACCCAAAGGAGCGATGAGAGGTTGTCGCCGGCCACAGCTGGCATCTTGGCGGCGTTTGCATCCAGAAACGACGCGTCCGACGGCGAAGGCATGATCGAACCTTGTTCTGACATGCTCACTTCAGAAAGCCGTGAGTGCAGCGGGCTCCGCGACGTATTTGCGCCATCAGCGAGAACGGCAATCGGTCGGTGCGCGCCGTACGCCGCAGCCTTAATTCGCGGAATACCCACGTCGGCGAGCTTGGGTACCCACCCGGCGTCAAGCAAGATGTTGGGCGATTTGAGGTCCGAGTGGATGGCGCCGGCCTGGTGCAGAAAGTCGACGCCAAGTGCAATACAGTGCATCCACCAGCCGAGAAGCGACTGCGGGAGGTTGAACTCGGCGTTGTGCAAGATGGCATGGAGCGAGCCGCGAGGTAGAAACTCGGTCACAATGCCGCGTGCCTCGACGTCGGCGCCCATGAACATGACAATGTTTGGATGCCGGAGCATGGCGAGCGACATGAGCTCGGCCACAAACTCGAGGTCAGAGAGCCTGGGGCCAGCGCCGGACTGGCCCTCGCGGACGCGCTTGACCACTACCGGCGAGCCGCGCCACTGTGCCTCAAACACAGTGCCAAACGAGCCGGTCCCTATTACGTTGCCAATTCTGAGCTCGTGGCTCGGGATGATGATCGAGTGCGAAGGGAGCGCCGATGCCGGGACCGTCACACGCTCGTGCTTCCGGCTTGACCACAGCACAATGCCGGCCACAAGAGCGCAGACGCAGATAACCACCAGTGGAACAGTGATTGCCGCAGCAAGCGCCCCGGTCGACAAGACCGGCTCATCGCTTGCGCCACAACCGGGGCCAATACATACCTGCGAGAGCGGGAGCGCGCCGCACGTACACGTTGCCAGATTTGCAGCAACGGCGGTGAGCGTCGCGTTGGTCAGCGGCGCAAAGAAGAGCGAGCGGAGGAGCGCCCGTGTATCGCTTGATGCCAGTGCCCAGCGAAGGTAGTCAAAGGCAGCTCGGCGCTTGGCACAAACCGCCGTCGACGAGCACTCAAAGACCCAGTACGTGTACCCCACCAGAGGCCACGCCAGCGGCACAGGCTGATCCACCAGCGTCTTGACGAGTGGAAGCAGTGCGTTGGTCGCCGGAACATTGACTGCATTCGCTGCCGCAGCCCTCACTGTCAGCGGCGTGGCGTCGACTACGTCGCCGGCGGCATTGATCAGCGATGCGAACCGGAGTGAGAGTGCCGATGCCATGTGTCCGCTTGCGTAGCCGAGGCCCGAAGTCTCAAACGCAAACTCGTAGACGAGCGCACCCATCGTGGAGTGTTCGACCAGGCATGGCACTGGCCAGTCGCCGGCTTGGGCAAGCTGAGCCAGCGCCGCTGCGTCGGACGAGAACGACGCCAGTGCGTCGAGAAGGATGCGCGTCTCACCTGACATCTCCGCCGCAGCAGGCGTGAGGACATGGATGCAGATGGTGGAGTTGGGAAGCCAGGGCGCAAGCTCCGGATTAAGCGCCACAATCTGTGAGTCGGCCCACTGGGTGACACGGCCGAGATAGATGTCGGCAACGACGTGGCGCGAGAGCACGAGCCGCGTGAGCGTGGTCGGCGCACCTGTGCGAAATGGAATGACATACGGTAGAACAACAGCAGCGGCGGCAAACGGGACGGCAGCAAGGCCTGGACGCGCCGTGAGATGGTTTTCAAGCGGTGGGAGCTCGGTCGAGGCAAAGACCGCGCGTCGGGTGACGAGTTCGTCGAGCCCGTCGAGTGAGGAAGAGCGCGAAAACTCAACGCGCGAGCCAAACATAGCGTTGTACACCTCAACCGATTGCTCAAGGGCTGAAGCCGCGAGTGGTGAGCCCGAGCCTACAATGAGCTCGCTCGAGCCGTCAGCAATGTACTCGCCGTTGCAGTTGGCGAGGTAGATCTCGCGGTCGAGCGCCGAACGTGCCATCGACGGCACCACGCGTGTCCCGTACAGCCAGGCTCGCTCAGAGACGATGAGCGAAGAGAGTGCACGTCGGATGCCGTTCGCTGTCTGGCGCATCAGCTCGCACGTCTCGCGCGGAACCTTGGTGGCCAACGTCGGAATGGCGAGCCACTCGCCATGCGTCAGCGGCCAGGCACGGGGCAGCGGAGCAAGGAGCACGTTGACGTTTGGCGACGCCAGCGTCGACGCAGCAACTTCTACACTCTGCTCCGAGACTTGTACATGCCCACCAGTGCCATCGATCATGGTGGCGACAAAGAGATCGCGCGAGACGCCGGTGGCGACAAAGGCTTCCGAAGTTACAATGGTGAATGAGTACGGTGTCCGTGGAATGGCGCGGGTGGCAGCCAGGAGCGCGAGCCACGCATTTGTAGGCTCGTTGCTATTACTTATGTACATCACGTTGGTTGAGGTGCCGAACGGGACTTGATTCGGAGGGAGGTTGGAGAAGAGCGACGCGTTGTACGTCCCGCGCTCCTCCATCACCGAGAGCATGTCGCGGACGACTAGGTCCTCGACAAACGGCAATATCGCACGGATAAGGACAACGTGATGGTCGGGCAGTGCAAGGCCTGGATTGACAGCCGCGATGCGCGGGTCATCCCACCTCGTGATCGAGCCGTGCCAGAGAGCGGCGACGAGTTCGGCGTCGAGAACGAGGCCAGGCATGAAGCCGGGTACATTGACCATCGGCACAATGTAGGAGACAGCAATTGGCATGTATGAGATCCGGGTCCAGTCAGTCCCATGTGTTCCGGTCTCGGCGCAAAGAACCTCTGAGCGGCGCGCCGCGTCGGTGGCGAGCGTGTCAGCGCCGCCGCCATCACCGCCACCAGACGTCGACGATGACGGCGGCGGCGGCGGCGGAGCGACATGCGTATCCGCCAGGCCCTTGCAAGCATCCAGGAGAACACGGCGCGAAGCCGAGACAACGATGGAGACTCGTCGTGGTTCGTCCGGCGAAAACGGCTGCCGCCGGTTGGCGTTGTTGTCGCGCACGAGGCCGAGCGGCGGCTCGCCGCGGGCTGTGGCATGGAGCTCAGCAAGAGCATCAGGAATGGCTGCACCTTGAAAGTGCGGCTGCCACGTCGACCGAATGAGCCGCGAGGCAAAGCGCGCAAGGCCGGTGCCCGATGAGAAGCCCGCCGCAATCGAGGTAAAGTACTCGACCTCTGTCTCGGGGGGTCCAGAGTCGGCTGAGTGCGCCAAGTGGGCCAAGACGACGAGTGCGACAGCGGCGAGACAGACCGTCTGTGGTGCCCTCCACACCGCCTTACCCATTGTATACGGACGAGGGGGTAGGAAGGCTAGTAGAGCGGTTGTGGCGGACAACGAGATAGGTGGAGCAAACAACGAACTACTTGCTTGACTTCATGTGCTAGGAGCGACGAACACTGCGTGAGCCGCAGGTCGTGCGTTTGCGGCTTAGCGTGCTGACATGTCCCAATATTTTTAGATTGGGGTCCCGTCCCAACCATGGCTCGACTGCAAAACAGCAGAGTCCGCGCCTCACTGGAGTGACAGCGTTGTCCGGGGCTTGGAAGTTCACGAGCGTGCAAAGTGGGCAAGGGTAGCGGGCTGATACGGTTGCCGGCTGGTACGGTTGTCGGCTACTTGGTGAGGAGGGGGTGGGGGGAGGTTGGGGGGTTGGGGGGGGTTGCTTGACTGCAAATGTTCCACACTTAGCTTTGGCAGACAGTCAGATTGGCATACAAAACAACGATATTCCACCTGTCTCTCGCCTATGCGGCTCAAAACAGCGTTTGTGCTCACACTCCTTGCCGCACTTGCTGTTGCGAGTACAAGGGGTAAGCAGCCAGCTTGGGAACGAGACAACGCCAGCGACGATGGTAGCGACAACAACGACGGGAGCTTTTCCGTCACCGCCGCACATGTCCAAGTCGGCGAGGTGCTTGCGGGCGTGACGGTTGCATCACGTTTGGCAGAGTTTGCTGGCCGAGCGGCCATTATTGGTGAAAACGGAATAAGCGGCACAGCATGGAAGCCGAAGTTGAGGGCGACGTCGTTTGACGAGGGGCTCGACCTCTTGCTGGCCAACTTGCCGACTGCGGTGAGCAATGGACCATGGAAGCCGAATGCCGAGGTTGGCTTGGAAGATGCGGCCGCTTTGGCGGCGGGAGGCGAGGCGCCGTCGTTTGTGACTGCGGCGCTCGGGACGGCAGTGGGGACGCGGGACGTTGTTGACCGCAAGTGTGCGGGACTCGGGTTGAGCAAGTGCGGCGAGATGCTGGAGATTTTCCCATGGGCACTCTCACACCTGATTCCAACGATCAACTTGCCTGGCGTCGGCTCGTCGCTTGTTCTCGACTTACACTTGCTCCACGAGATTCTCTTGGGCGAGATTACAATGTGGAACGACCCGGAGATTGCGGAGCTGAACCCCGGCCGGCTGCTCCCAAGCTCACCCATTACGCTCATCTCGTACCCCGAGCTCGCGATCACTGATGTGTTTGAAGCCTTGCTTACCAACGATACCCACGACGAGGCGCCGCTGTTCTCGTCGTCGAACACGATCGAGACGGAGGATGCGATAGCGGCAGCGTCGATGCTGTTCGCGACGAGCAACTCACTGGCTATCCTCACGTCGCAGACGGTAACTCAGGGTGGATACACGCGACTTGTCATCCCCAAGTTGATCAATGCTGCTGGCGTGGTGGTGTCTTATAGCGAGCGGAGCGTGACGGCAGCGGCGGCGTTGCTCGACGACGACGCGTCCGAAGCGCTCAACTCGAAGGCCGAGGACGCGTGGCCGCTTGTCTTTACCGAGTGGATGGTCATGCCTTCCAAGATCCAAGGTGTGGATCCTCAATTTTGCAGCGCCATGGTCTCAAGCATGTCAGGAGTCAAGTTCCTCATCTCGTCGCTCTTTATTACCGAGCGGCTGTGGCTGTACGGGCATGTGCCGCTGCCGCGTGCGCTGCGCTCGATTGTGGTGCAGCGGTTGCAACAGTTTGAGTGTAATGGAGTAGAGCTGGCGGTATCTGTCGACCGGGTAGACGGCGCCGGCGCGACGTTTCCTTCAAACGTCTACGTCCAGGCCATTGAGTTGTTCAACGTCCTCACCTCGTCGCAACTCTCGTATTCTCCCGTTGGCTCTGGAACAGGCAAGGCAAGGCTGGTGGCTGGCCAGATGCTGTTTGCCGGCTCTGACTCGGCGCTCTCGGACGCAGACCTCAACGCGGTCCCCACTCTTGTGCAGCTACCCTCGCTTGCCGGCGCAGTGGCCATCTCGTACAAGATCAAGATGACTTCCGATGCACCGGCGTTGGTGCCGACGCTTGTGCTCTCGCGATCTGCGCTTGCCGACATTTACCGTGGCGCGATTACGGCGTGGAACCATCCGCAGATCGAGGCGCTCAATCCAGGCCTCGCGCCGTACTTGACCAATGCGACAATTTGCATCCACGTGGTCGACTTTCGGTCAGGAACCACGGGTATTCTCACGGCGGCACTCTCGACTTTTTCGCCAGCGTGGGCGGCAACGATTGGCGAGACTACGTACATCGACGAGTGGCCGGCCGAGCGACCAGAGACGGGTGGTTGCGTGGTGCGCCACCCAACCAAGACGTCGCTCGTGAACGGCATGTTTGCGGATCCAAACGCCATTGGCTACTCCAATCTCGAGCGGGCACAGCGACTTGGTGTCCCACTCGCCTCGCTAGTCAACCGGGCAGGAACGACGGTCGAGGCCTCAGCGGCCACGGTCCAGTCGGCGATTATCGACGCCCAAGACCGGAATGCGCCCAACTCGCGGCTTCCGTACGTCAAGCCGCTGGCTAATGGCGGCTCGCAACTCTCGTGGCCGATTTCGGGCTACACGTACTTTGTCATGGACTGCCACGCGAAGAGCAACTGCGACAAGTTACGGCAAGCAGCCAAGTTTTACCAGTGGCTTGTCACGTCACCGGACGCGTCCGTCATTGCGTCGTCGCTCGGCTTTGCCGCGCTGCCCAACGTGACCACAATGCTGACGGTGGGCGAGCTCGAGCGCTGCACCTGCGGCGGCCGCCCGCTTTTGGATCCGTGCTCGGACGGGCTCTGCGCAGACGCAGCCACATCGACAGGAATCTCTGCGGGGACGATTGTGGCGATTTTGGTTCCGCTGGTGGTGATGGTTGTGGTGTGCGGCGTGCTCGCCGCCGTCTGGATCCACTCGCGGTCCCGTGACGTGGTGTTCAAGCTGGAGGTTGACGAGGACATCCTTGTGGCCAATGAGGAGCTTGAGCTAGGCAGTGCAATTGGGACCGGTTCGTTCGGAACTGTGTACCTGGCGCACTGGCGCGGCTCACCGATGGCCATCAAGTACATGCACGGGCTGGAGGAGAACACGGCCCGACTGGCCGAGTTTGTGGACGAGGCCTCGGTCCTGCTCAAGCTCCGACACCCACACATTGTGCTGTTTATGGGCGTTGTGCTCGAGCCGGCCGGCATCGTTACCGAGTTCCTCCCGCATGGCTCGCTTTACACAGTCCTGCACAACTCGGAGTTGCAGATCGAGCGCAACCTCGCGCTGTGGTGGATGCACTGCATTGCCATGGGCCTGGACTTTCTGCACCACGGTGGCATGGTCCACCGCGACATGAAGTCGCTTAACGTCCTACTCGATGCGGGATGGGTGCCCAAGATCTGCGACTTTGGCCTCTCGTCGTGCAGTGAGTCTTCAGCATCCATGTCGCTCTCGAGGAAAGAGCAGTCAAGGCGGGCACGCAAGCTCAAAAAGCTTGTCAGCAAGATGAACAAGAGAAATGGCGCCAAGTTGCACTCGCTCGGCTCGGCCAGGCATACGGCCGGTTTGTCGTCGAGGAGCTCGCTCAACTCGGCAGGTTCGGGTGGATCCAACGGCTCGAGCGCGGGTGGTTACGGGACGAGCAACGGGGTCAACGCCGCACTCGGCTCGTTGCTGTGGACGGCACCCGAGGTGCTGCAGAACGGCGCCAGTGCATCATCACCTGCGTCTGATGCGTTCGCCTTTGCCATCACGGCATGGGAGATTCTGACGCGTATGGAGCCGTATGCAGGGATGCACCCGGTGGCGGCGGCGACCAAGGTGTCGGATGGGAGCCTGCGCCCGATTCTTGGCGTTGTGCCCGACTGGGGCAAGTCGGTGGTGCCCTTGCTCGAGGAGGCGTGGCACGCTCAGCCGACGGCGCGGCCGCCGCTCTCTGTCATCGGCAAGAAGCTCTCGTCGCAGTATGTGCGCAAGCAGATTGTGCACCCGATGCCGGCGAATCTGCCGAGCGGTGAAGTGGTGGCTGTTCTTATCTCGTGTTCGGAGAATGTCGCCCAACTTAGCGTCGACGTGGGCGAGTGTCGCGAGGCACTGCTCGCCTTCCATGGCATGCTTGACACGCTCGTGGGCGCGCCGAGCTGCAGCGGCGTTATCGCCGATCGAACCCTCGCACACGCAATGGTTGTGTTCAACGTCCCGGCGCACTTTGCATCGTTCGCAGCCGATGCTCTCCGGATGATGGGCAGTGGACCGATGCGTGTCAAGATGGTGGCGGCACACGGCACGATTGTGACGGTTGCACAGGGCGGGACCGAGAACTCAGACCAGCGGTTGCTTCAGTTCTCAGGCCCCGTGATATCCGAGATTCTGTCGCGCAACGCGCCACTTGAGGTCACCGGCATCCTTGTTGCTCCGAGCCTCACCGGCCCGGTGGTCGAGGCGGTGGCGGCGTTCAAGGACGCCGCGGCGTCCAACACAGCCGACGTGATTACGGACATTGGCTCGACCCTCGACTCGGCTTTCCCGGACAACCGAAGTGAGGTGCGGACACCATACGACTCGATGATGCTGGCTGGCGCCAGTGGACAAGGGCTTGGTATCGCGGTCGTCCGGGACTCGACTGAGAGCGGATGGGCGATGGTGGTAAGCGAGACCACAACCAGCACGGCGGCGCCGGCTGAGATGACGCATGCGTCGCTGGTGCCGGCATCATCGGTCAACTCGCTGACAAGTGAGCGGCTCACGCTCTCGGCACTCCAGAGCGGGTCGTCGTTCTTGGTCTCCGGACCGGTGATGAAACGGGTGCTGGCCAAGGGGAGCGAGCTGTGTGTCGGCTCGTTCTCACGGGTGGCAGCGTCGGATGCAGACGGGTCACCGGTGGTGACCAAGACTGTGCTCGAGCAGACCATGTCGTCGGTGGCACTGGTTGAGCTTGTCATGGCCATGGCGTTGCAGTTTGAGCTCATCAAGTCTTTGCCGGATGCAGTCCTCGCTCCCATCGCTGTCTGTCCGTTTCGGCCGCACATCTCAGTCATGTACCCGCTGGTCGAGCTCGGCTCGATCGGCGACGCCATCGCTGCTGGGAACTTTGGTGGCGAGTTCTCCCGCCGTGTCTCGGTGGCGCTGGCGCGGGCGCTGTTTGCGCTCCACACCGAGGGCGTGACGCACGGCTCGATCAAGCCGAGCAATGTAATGCTTATGGAGGCGAGCGGGTCCAAGGTCACACTTATGGATGTAGGCATCAATGGCATCAAGACCTCGCTCTCCACCATGACAATGTCGCCATCGGTCTCGTACTCGTGCCCCGAGGTGCTCAACGGCGAAGCCGTTGGACAGGGCTCGGACATCTTTGGCTTTGCATCGACGGTCTTTGAGCTTGTCAGCGGTAAGCAGGCGTTCACCGGCATCAACGCCATGCAGGTCGCGTACAGGATCATGTCCAGCACAGTACCACCCACGGCACACATCCATCCGGAGCTTGCTGCGCTGCTTGTCTCGTGCTGGGCACCGGCTGCGTCAGACCGACCCCATATGTCGGAGGTTGTCCAGCACTTGTCGCGGTTCACCTCGCTCGAGTTTACGGTGGCAGGGACTGTCGGCGGCGAGCGGTAAAGAATGGGTTAAGTCGTGGAATTTGATCCATGGCGTGCTGAGCGAGGTGAGAGAGCGGCGGCGGATGGTGGCCGAGTACTTTATCGGGGGAGGGCTCGTGAAGGTGGAGGAGGCTGGGCAGTAAATGACGAGGGGCAAGAGTCATGGTGGGAATGGGGGAGATGGTGGTGGCTGTGATCTTGTTTACTTGTGATTGGGGTGTGTTGGGTGTGGTAGAGGTGGTGTTGCTGATGCTGCTGGTCTTGCTGATGCGATTGCTGTCGGGTCGTCCAAGTCGCCGTGCCCGTCGTCGTCGGGATTGAGGCATGGTAGGCCAATGGGAGTGGGTGCAGAGGTTGAGGGGAGGCGTGGATGAGGATGTGGTTGGGGACGAGAGTGAGAGGAGGAGTGGCTTGTTTTCGGCCAGTTGGACTTGGGCCTAGTCATGATCAGCGGCGCAGTTGGCAGGAGGGGCGTCGATGGAGACGAGGGCTTGGGATTGGTGGAGGGGCAGTTTTGAGTTGCGGGGCGAGAGGGAGGAGGGTAGAAGGGAGGGTGAGTACGATCAGGCTAGGAAGTGGTCATGGGTGCGCCATCGTCAGTTGGTGTCGATGTCGGTGCAGGGGAGTGGGTGGGCTGGGCTGGCGACTGGCGATGGAGGTGATGGTGATGGCGACGATGACAATCATGTGCATCAGGCCAACAGTATCTGCGTCATTGTACTCGATGTCGTGCTTCTGCTCGTCCTTCTGATCCCGATCTTGCGTCCTCATCCTCGACCTCGGCCTCGAACCTGGGTTAGGCGCTCGCTCGTTTGGGCTGTCGCTCACAAGGGCCCGCCCGGCAGGATCCGGCGCCGATGGTGATACGCAGCAGCTGGCTTGTTTGCGATGCATGGATCATTCATCCCACTTCCATGTCATATCCCTCTCATCCTCCCTCTCTCTCTCCCCAACAGCCGCAGCGGCCTCAGCCACGGTCACCGCCTCGGGTCGTCCTCCGCCATCGCAACCATGAACCTGCCACCTCAACCATCACTCCCATCACCAGCCATCGCCATCCCCCATCACTATCCTCATCAGCATCAGCATTATCACCAACCTGGTCATCGCCGCCTCGGGCTTGGGCTTCCTCTTCTCGCGCCTCAGCAGCAGCACGGCGCCCATGCCGGCGAGTGGCTGAGCGACGAGCGGCTGGCCGTCACTTGATCACTCGCTGCTCGCCTCGGCCTCGGCCACAGCAGCAGCGCTAGCTGTGGCAGCCATCACACTCATCCCACTCGGGCCATCTACACC